CCCGTCTATGGCCGCCATTAGCTTTAGTTAGGTTTTGAGTTGTAAACGCTTATAACTTTCACGTGAACCAATTAATTTACATGTAATGGGATTTTTTGTAGCAAAGACACGGAGCAGAATACATTTTGGCCAAAATTTAGGACGAAATTTGATTTTAAAATTTTTTTTACTGGACATGTTTTATAGCAAAAAGTCAAAAATATTGTTTTTTTTTCTCAAAATTGTCAGCCTCTTTTTTTATAGCGCAAAAAATAAAAAAATGCACAGGTGATCAAATACCACCGAAAGAAAGCTCAATTTGTAGGAAAAAAAGGATGTAAATTCCATTTGGGTGCGGCATTGCATGACCGCGCAATTGTCAGTTAAAGTGACTCAGCGCCGTATCGTGAAAAAATGTCCTGGTCAGGAAGGAGGGGGGGGGGGAATCCTCTGGAGGGCGAGGGGTTCAGGTTAGGAGTTAATTATTATTTATTTATCATGATTTTTTTCATTTATATGTGTATTTATTTGATTTATTTTACATTTATTTATTCATATATTATTACTTTTTTTTTTTTTTGGCAAAAAATCTCACAATTGCGTGTTTCTATTATTTTCTATGGCAGTAAAAACACGCAAAAAAATGTGTAACCAATCAACATACAGTTTCACTCCTTGGGTTCAGGTTAGGGGGTTAATTATTATTTATTTATCATGATTTTTTTATTTATATGTGTATTTATTTGATTTACAGTTGCAAGAAAAAGTATGTGAACCCCTTGGGATTACGTGGAGTTTTGCATGAATTGGGCACAAAATGTGCTCTGAACGTCATCTAAGTCACAACAATAGAAGAACACAGTCTGCTGAACATAATACTACACAAACATTGGATGTTGCCATGATTTAATTGCACATAACATGTAAACATTCACAGTGCAGGGAGGAAAAAGTATGTGAACCTTTGGACTTAATAACTGGTTGGCCCTCCTTTGGCAGCAATAACCTCAACCAAACATTTCCTGTAGTTGCAGATCAGACCTGCACAACGATCTGGAGTCATTTTGGACCACTCCTCTTCACAAAACTGTTTCAGTGTAGCAATATTCTTGGGATGTCTGATGTGAATCGCTCTCTTAAGGTCATGCCACAGCATTTCAATCGGGTTGAGGTCAGGACTCTGACTGGGCCACTCCAGAAGGCGTATTCTGTGCTGTTGCAGCCATTGTTTTGTTGAATTACTTGTATGCTTTGGGTCATTGTCCTGTTGCATCACCCATCCTCTGCGGAGCTTCAGTTGGCGGACAGATGGTTGTACGTTTTCCTGCAAAATGTCTTGATAAACTCTGGAATTCATTTTCCCATCAATGACAACAATCCGTCCAGCCCTGAGACAGCAAAGCAGCCCCAAACCATGATGCTCCCTCCGCCATGTTTTACAGTGGGGATGAGGTTTTGATGTTGGTGTGCTGGGCCTTTTTTTCTCCACACATAGTGTTGTGTGTTCTTCCCAAACAACTCAATCTTGGTTTCATCTGTCCACAGTATATTCTGCCAGTAGTGCTGTGGAACATCCAGGTGCTCTTTTGCAAACTTCATACGTGCTGCAATATTCTTTTTGGACAGCAATGGCTTCCTCTGTGGTGTCCTCCCATGTACTCCATTCTTGTTTAATGTTTTCCTTATTGTAGATGTGTCAACAAAAAAATGTTAGCATGTGCCAGAGATTTCTGTAGGCCTTTAGCTGACACTCTGGGATTCTTCTTTACCTCATGCAGCATTCTGCGCTGTGCTCTTGCAGTCATTTTTACAGGACAACCACGCCTAGGGAGAGTAGCAACAGTGCTAAACTTTCTCCATTTGTAGACAGTCTGTCTTACCGTGGACACATGAACATCAAGGCTTTTGGAAATACTTTTGTAACCCTTTCCAGCTTCATGCAAGTCAACAATTCTTGATCGTAGGTCTTCTGAGATCTCTTTTCTGCGAGGCATGGTTCACATCAGACAGTGCTTCTTGAAACCAGTAAACCCAAAACAGGTGTGTGTTTTTTAAGGGCAGGATGGCTGTCAGCAACACATCCAATATCATCACACTGATTGGAGTCAAGGTTGGCTCACTCCTGGCTCCAATTAGCTCTGGGAGAAGTCATTAAACTAGGGCTTCACATACTTTTTCCTCCCTGCACTGTGAATGTTTACATGTTATGTGCAATTAAATCATGGCAACATCTAATGTTTGTGTAGTATTATGTTCAGCAGACTGTGTTCTTCTATTGTTGTGACTTAGATGACGTTCAGAGCACATTTTATGCCCAATTCATGCAAAACTCCACGTAATCCCAAGGGGTTCACATACTTTTTCTTGCAACTGTATATTACATTTATTTATTCATATACTATTACTTCTTTTTTTTTTTTTAATTTGAGCAGAAAATCTTGCAATTACGCGTTTCTATTCTTTTCTAGGGCAGTAAAAACACGACAAAAACGTGCAAATTTAATCAAAAATGTGCCCGCGTACGGCCAGCTTGCTCCGTGTCGCCTGTAACTGATAGACATACAGTTTCACTCCTTGGGTTCAGGTTAGGGGTTAATTATTATTTATTTATCAGGATTTATTTTATTTATATGTGTATTTATTTGATTTATTTTACATTTATTTATTCATATATTATTACTTTTTTTTTTTCTGGCAGAAAATTGGGTTCAGGTTAGGGGTTAATTATTATTCATTCATCATGATTTTTTTTATCATGATTTTTTTTATTTATATGTGTATTTATTTGATTTATTTTACATTTATTTATTCATATATTATTACTTTTTTTTTTTTTGGCAAAAAATCTCACAATTGCGTGTTTCTATTATTTTCTAGGGCAGTAAACATGCGCCAAAAACGTGCAAATTTAAACAAAAATTTGTCCACGTACGGCCAGCTTGCCCTGTGCCGCCTGTAACACTCCTTGGGTTCAGGTTAGGGGTTAATTATTATTTATTTATCATGATTTATTTTATTTATATGTGGATTTATTTATTTTTTATTTGAGCAGAAAATCTCACAATTGCGTGTTTCTATTATTTTCTAGGGCAGTAAACATGCGCCAAAAAACGTGCAAATTTAAACAAAAATTTGTCCACGTACGGCCAGCTTGCCCTGTGCCGCCTGTAACACTCCTTGGGTTCAGGTTAGGGGTTAATTATTATTTATTTATCATGATTTATTTTTTATTTATATGTGGATTTATTTATTTATTTATTTTTTATTTGAGCAGAAAATCTCGCAATTGCGTGTTTCTATTAGTTTCTAGGGCAGTAAAAACGTGCCAATTTAAAATTAAATTTGCCTGCTTATGGCCAGCTTGCTCTGTGCCACCTGTAACCGATCGACATACAGTTTCACTCTTTGGGTTAATTATTATTTTATTTATCATGATTTTTTTGTTTATGTGTATTTATTTGATTTATTTTACATTTATTTACTTATATATTATTACTTTTTTTTTTTTTCTTTGAGCAGAAAATCTCACAAATGCGTGTTTCTATTATTTTCTAGGGCAGTAAAAACACGCCAAAAATGTGAAAATTTAAACAAAAATTTGCCTGTGTACGGCCAGTGTGCTCCGTGCCGCCAGTAACCGATCCACATACAGTTTCACTCCTCGGCTGATGTGAAGTCATCCTGGATTTGTGGAGGTGTCACCGCCATTGTTCTGAGAGGCGACAGTTTCTACGACAACTCGCCGTAATGTCCAGAACAATGGCTCCAAATTACAGGTCTGCCGTCTCCGGGTGTCATCCTCTCAATTCCAGACAATAAGGAGCAGTTGGTTCTTCGCATTCATGGGAACTCCCCCCCCCACCCCCCCATACACAGATATATGTATATAAGAGGACAGGACAGCCAGGAGGACGCGCTCATCCTTGAACCGCAATGGTGTCCACCGCCGGTCTCCTCGTCTTTATCGCCCTCTGCGTTGGTTCCGGTAAGTCCCCAAAATATTCCCGCGATCTCTGTTGGGGGCTCACAATACTCTCCCAATATGTCCGATATTTATAAAAAACGATGTCCTGTAACAAAAATATTTACAAAAAGAAACATAAAAGATACAATTAAAACCCAACAATACATTGCCTGAGCTGGAAGAGACTTCAGGAACAAAGGATCCATGGTGCGGATGACGCGCGGATTTTGTGCACATCGCGGTTCACACCGACGCGTTTTTTGGGCTTTTCGCAGCAACGATCTGCAGTCCATTTAACACGGATTCTTACGGGGCGCGCTCACATCTGTGCTGCGTTTTTGGGAAGAGTCTGGGACTTTTTTTTTAAACACAAAACAATGCGTTTTTAGTCTGATAGACTTCAATATGCTGCAGAGAAGAAGGCGGTGCATTTTTGTAAAAAATTTTTGATGCGTGTTGCAGTTTTGTAATCTGCCCAACAACAAATTGCTTAGGTGTGAACTGGACCCCGCATTCACTATATCCGCTCTCCCCGGACCCCGCATTCACTATATCCGCTCTCTCAGGACCCCGCATTCACTATATCCGCTCTCCCCGGACCCCGCATTCACTATATCCGCTCTCCCCGGACCCCGCATTCACTATATATCCGCTCTCCCCGGACCCCGCATTCACTATATCTGCTCTCCCCGGACCCCGCATTCACTATATCCGCTCTCTCAGGACCCCGCATTCGCTATATCCGCTCTCCCCGGACCCCGCATTCACTATATCCGCTCTCCCCGGACCCCGCATTCACTATATCCGCTCTCCCCGGACCCCGCATTCACTATATCTGCTCTCCCCGGACCCCGCATTCACTATATCCGCTCTCTCAGGACCCCGCATTCACTATATCCGCTCTCCCCGGACCCCGCATTCACTATATCAGCTCTCCCCGGACCCCCGCATTCACTATATCCGCTCTCCCCGGACCCCGCATTCACTATATCCGCTCTCCCCGGACCCCGCATTCACTATATCCGCTCTCCCCGGACCCCGCATTCACTATATCCGCTCTCCCCGGACCCCGCATTCACTATATCCGCTCTCCCCGGACCCCGCATTCACTATATCCGCTCTCCCCGGACCCCGCATTCACTATATCCGCTCTCCCCGGACCCTGCATTCACTATATCCGCTCTCTCCGGACCCCGCATTCACTATATCCGGTCTCCCCGGACCCGCATTCACTATATCCGCTCTCCTCGGACCCCGCATTCACTATATCTGGTCTCCCCCGGACCCCGCATTCACTATATCTGGTCTCCCCGGACCCCGCATTCACTATATCCGCTCTCCCCGGACCCCGCATTCACTATATCCGCTCTCCCCGGACCCCGCATTCACTATATCCGCTCTCCCCGGACCCCCCCGCATTCACACTTTATCCGCTCTCCCCGGACCCCGCATCTCACTATATCCGCTCTCCCCCGGACCCCGCACTCACTATATCCGCTCTCCCGGACCCCGCACTCACTATATCCGCTCTCCCCGGACCCCGCATTCACTATATCCGCTCTCCCCGGACCCCACATTCACTATATCCGCTCTCCCCGGACCCCACATTCACTATATCCGCTCTCCCCGGACCCCGCACTCACTATATCCGCTCTCCCCGGACCCCGCACTCACTATATCCGCTCTCCCCGGACCCCGCATTCACTATATCCGCTCTCCCCGGACCCCACATTCACTATATTCAGTCTCCCCGGACCCTGCATTCACTATATCCGCTCTGCCCGGACCCCGCATTCACTATATCCGCTCTCCCGGACCCCACATTCACTATATTCAGTCTCCCCGGACCCTGCATTCACTATATCCGCTCTGCCCGGACCCCGCATTCACTATATCCGCTCTCCCCGGACCCCACATTCACTATATTCAGTCTCCCCGGACCCTGCATTCACTATATCCGCTCTCCCCGGACCCCACATTCACTATATTCAGTCTCCCCGGCCCCCGCATTCACTATATCCGCTCTCCCCGGACCCCACATTCACTATATCCGCTCTCCCCGGACCCCGCATTCACTATATTCAGTCTCACCGGACCCCGCATTCACCATACTGTCGTACTTTGACTGACAATTGCGCGGTCATGCAACACTGTACCCAAAAGGGACTTTTATCATTTTTTTTCAGCACAAATAGATCTTTGGGTGGTATTTTATTTTTTGTACTATAAACTAAAAAAGAGCAAATGTTTTGAAGAAAAAAAAGTTTTTCTTTGTTTCTATTTTAAAATTTTGCAAACAGGTAATTTTCTTCACTGATGTGTGTTGATTAGGCTGCACTGATGGGCACTGATAGGCTGCACTGATGAGGCGGCATTGGTGAGCATTGATGAGGAGGCACTGATATGCACCACTGAAGGGCATTAATAGGTTGCACTGAAGGGCACTGACTGGCAACACTGATAGGCGGCACTGATGGGCAGCACTTCTGCAGCACCTGCAAGCTGGATTCTTCTTTCCTCTCCCGCTGGTTTTCAGCTGCAGCAGAGAGAGCCATACAGGGGATCGGTTCCAGTAATTGCCCCTCCCCCCCACTATGCTAATCACCCTTACTGTACACATCTGATTCACCCAGCTGGTTGGGCCCCCCCAGTGCTGCCGGCTTCCCTCCTCTCCTTCCCACCGGCAGCTGCAAGCATACAATAGGATCCTTCAGGATGGAGAGTGGGGGAGGGGTCACATTTACCTGCCCCTTTCTTTCCTGAATGAACACAATGAGGGATAGGTGCTGATCACTCACCATGTTCATTCACAACTGAAGCATAGTAAACTGTGTTGTTCTTTTTTGAAGAGGGCGCTTTCAGGTTGGCTGTATGGGGCTCTGTGGTTTCTAACAGCAGCCCTACCCATCAGTGCTGCCTATCAGTCAGTGCCGCCTATCCCATCGGTGCTGCCTATCAGTACCCATCAGTGCTGCCTATCAGTACCCATCAGTGCTGCCTATCAGTACCCATCAGTGCTGCCTATCAGTGCCCATCAGTGCCCATCGGTGCTGCCTATCAGTGCCCATCGGTGCTGCCTATCAGTGCCCATCAGTGCCGCCTATCAGTACCCATCAGTGCCGCCTATCAGTACACATCAGTGCCGCCTATCAGTGCTGCCTATCAGTACCCATCAGTGCCGCCTATCAGTACCCATCAGTGCCGCCTATCAGTACCCATCAGTGCCGCCTATCAGTGCCGCCTATCAGTACCCATCAGTGCCGCCTATCAGTGCCGCCTATCAGTACCCATCAGTGAAGAAGAAAAATTACTTACAAAATTTTAAAATTAATTTTTTGATTTTTTTAAAAAAATTTTAGTTTTTTCTTAAATTGTGTTTAACCCCTCCCCCTCCAGAGGATTTACCCCCCCCTCCCCCCTCCTGATCAGGCCATATTTTGCGATACGGCGCTACGTTACTTTGACTGACAATTGCGCGGTCATGCAACGCTGCACCCAAATTACATTTCCATCCTTTTTTCCCCACAAGTAGATCTTTCTTTCGGTGGTATTGGATCTCTTGTGCGCTTTTTATTTTTTTGCGCTATATAAACAAAAAATACCAACAATTTTGAAAAAAAAAACCCAATATTTTTGACTTTTTGCTATTAAAACAAGTCCAGTAAAAAAATTTTAAAAAACAAATTTCGTCATAAATTTCGTCCAGAATGTCTCTCGCTCCGTGTCTTCGCTAAGAAATAATCCCGATACATGTAAATGAATTGGTTTACGGGAAAGTTACAGCGTTTACAAATGGCGGGATATATTGAGGGAGTTTTTTTTTGCAATTTTTACTAGTAATGGCGGCGATCAGCGACTTATAGCGGGACTGCAGCGGGCATTCTGACACTGGGGGGGGGGGGGGGGGGGGAACTGACTAACTGCCAGACAGAGGCTGATGTGTGTTCAGCAGACAGAGGCTGATGTGTGTTCAGCAGACAGAGGCTGATGTGTGTTCAGCAGACAGAGGCTGAAGCGTGTTTGGCAGACAGAGGCTGAAGCGTGTTTGGCAGAAAGAGGCTGAAGCGTGTTCGGCAGATAGAGGCTGATGTGTGTTCAGGAGACAGAGGCTGAAGCGTGTTTGGCAGACAGAGGCTGAAGCGTGTTTGGCAGACAGAGGCTGAAGCGTGTTCGGCAGACAGAGGCTGAAGCGTGTTCGGCAGACAGAGGCTGAAGCGTGTTTGGCAGACAGAGGCTGAAGCGTGTTCGGCAGACAGAGGCTGAAGCGTGTTTGGCAGATAGAGGCTGATGTGTGTTCAGGAGACAGAGGCTGAAGCGTGTTTGGCAGACAGAGGCTGAAGCGTGTTTGGCAGAAAGAGGCTGAAGCGTGTTTGGCAGACAGAGGCTGAAGCGTGTTTGGCAGACAGAGGCTGAAGCGTGTTTGGCAGACAGAGGCTGAAGCGTGTTTGGCAGACAGAGGCTGAAGCGTGTTCGGTAGACAGAGGCTGATGTGTGTTCAGGAGACAGAGGCTGAAGCGTGTTTGGCAGACAGAGGCTGAAGCGTGTTTGGCAGACAGAGGCTGAAGCATGTTCGGCAGACAGAGGCTGAAGCGTGTTTGGCAGACAGAGGCTGATGTGTGTTCAGGAGACAGAGGCTGAAGCGTGTTCAGGAGACAGAGGCTGAAGCGTGTTTGGCAGACAGAGGCTGATGTGTGTTCAGGAGACAGAGGCTGAAGCGTGTTCGGTAGACAGAGGCTGATGTGTGTTCAGGAGACAGAGGCTGAAGCGTGTTCGGCAGACAGAGGCTGAAGCGTGTTCGGCAGACAGAGGCTGAAGCGTGTTCGGCAGACAGAGGCTGAAGCGTGTTCGGCAGACAGAGGCTGAAGCGTGTTCGGCAGACAGAGGGTGAAGCGTGTTCGGCAGACAGAGGCTGAAGCGTGTTCAGGAGACAGAGGCTGAAGCGTGTTCAGGAGACACGCCTGCACCCGTGATGCTGACAACATATAATCTGAACATCGGGTGACTCTTTCTCTCTTTTCCAGCCTCATCTCTGCAATGTTACACCTGCACCTCCCAGAGCAGCAACTCCAAATGTATGACGGCGACCAACTGCTCCGCCTCCGACACCACCTGCATGACCTCCGTTGTGGCGGGAGGACTCGGTAAGAGAAGGGCGGGGCCCGGGGATCTCCTGTGTGTTCTGATCCACCAGATCATCATCATCTCCTATCTCCCGATGATTGAGGGGAAACTTTGTAAACATTTAAAAAGGTCGATTTTCTGCGTGAACGACTCACGAACCATCCCCCCCCCCGTAATGTGCCCAATCCGTGTATTTCCTATTCTCGTCAGCTCCATCTAGTGGCCGTCAGGAAGTGGTTTCCTGAAATACCTCAAGTCAGGAAGAAAAACACATTGTGGCCACTAGGTGGAGCTGGCGAGGATAGGAAATACACTGATTAGGCACCCATAGGAATCGGCACACAGGGGAGGCGCACCTACAGGAGAGCTAACCTACTGTATGTGCCGTACCTGAGGGATCCCTCCAGAAGCTGGGAATCAATGTTCTAGACCGATACTACACCTCTACTACTACACTGCTATTATACAGCAACTACACCACTACTAGACTACTGCTACACTGCTATTACACTGCTACTACACTACCAATACACTGCTACTATGCTGCTGCTACACCTCTACTACACCGCTACTATGCTGCTACTACACCTCTACTACACCGCTACTATGCTGCTACTACACCTCTACTACACTGCTACTATGCTGCTACTACACCTCTACTACACTGCTACTATGCTGCTACTACACCTCTACTACACTGCTACTATGCTGCTACTACACCTCTACTACACCGCTACTATGCTGCTGCTACACCTCTACTACACTGCTACTATGCTGCTACTACACCTCTACTACACTGCTACTATGCTGCTGCTACACCTCTACTACACCGCTACTATGCTGCTACTACACCTCTACTACACTGCTACTATGCTGCTACTACACCTCTACTACACTGCTACTATGCTGCTGCTACACCTCTACTACACCGCTACTATGCTGCTACTACACCGCTACTACACCTCTACTACACCGCTACTATGCTGCTACTACGCCTCTACTACACTGCTACTATGCTGCTGCTACACCTCTACTACACCGCTACTATGCTGCTACTACACCTCTACTACACTGCTACTATGCTGCTACTACACCTCTACTACACTGCTACTATGCTGCTACTACACCTCTACTACACTGCTACTATGCTGCTACTACACCTCTACTACACTGCTACTATGCTGCTACTACACCTCTACTACACTGCTACTATGCTGCTACTACACCTCTACTACACCGCTACTATGCTGCTACTACACCGCTACTACATCTCTACTACACTGCTTCTACAGTGATAGCTGCTAGTTTCCCGGTCCTGTGCTGAGTGGTTGCCCTGCTGCTTCCTGAACACGGGAGGTCGGCCGCTCGGCACTGTTGCCATTCAGAGAACACTTTGCATCTTCTTAATGAATGCAAAGTGTTTTCTGGTTTGATGAGGTGGAGACTGTGACATCATCACCCCGCCTCTCCACCTCATCCAACCAGCAAGGCATTCTCTGAATGGCAACAGTGCCAAGCGGCCGACCTCCCGTGTTCACAACTCAGCAGGGCAGCTGCTCAGCAAGAGACCCAGAAGCTAGTAGAGATTGGTGCAGTTCAGGTGTATTAGGGGCTTGGTAGTGGTGTAGTAGTAGTGATATAGTAGCAGTGTAGTAGAGGTGTGTAGTAGTGTAGAAGAGGTGTGTAGTGTGTAGTAGAGGTGTGTAGTGGTGTAATAGAGTTGTAATAATGGTGTCGTAGAGGTGTGCAGTGTGTAGTAGAGGTGTAGTAGAGGTGTGTAGTGGTGTAATAATGGTGTTGTAGAGGTGTGTAGTGTGTAGTAGAGGTGTGTAGTAGAGGTGTGTAGTGGTGTCGTAGAGGTGTAGTAGAGGTGTGTAGTGGTGTAATACTGGTGTCGTAGAGGTGTGTAGTGGTGTAGTAGAGGTGTGTAGTGGTGTAATAATGGTGTCATAGAGGTGTGTAGTGGTGTAGAAGAGGGGTGTAGTAGAGGT